AAACATTTGTTATTTTTTTGCTCCTGCTGTGCGTACATTAGAGGACCATGGCTAGAGGTGAAGTTTTCCAGACTTGCAAGAAAATCCACCTTTATCCTAGCAATCGCCATGATGAAGAAGAAATGAAATTGTGAGAGTTTACTGCCTCATTTAAAAACATCTGTTTGGCAAGAAGAGTTTTATTATGGTTGTGTGAGCTGACAAAAGCTTGAAGGACAGGGCTTTGCAGCTTCATCGTGCTGTGCTCCACGCTGAGTGTACCCATCATCTGCTCCACTTGCAGACTGAACAGGTGGGAGAGTGGCGATACCGCATTTTTTTTGGAATGGCCCAATGGCTTTTCTTGTGTTTCTTGCTAATTGCACCCTCTCAAATGCCGCAAAACTAGAAGACTAGAGGTTCTTCCCTCTGTTGCCCCATAAGGCTGGCCTTAAACATAATTCTTTTTGCATCTCTATGCCGTGCTGTGCCAACTCTGTGGGGCCCCACACATGCAAAGATGCTTTGCTTTATGATGAACAGATTTCAGAACCTCAGCAACCTCTCGGTTTCCCAGTCTCCTGCTGAATGTTATGAGATTTGCAGAGCATTGAGCCAACATATAAGGTGCCATTATGGATTCTGAAGCGAGAAGAAAACGATTCTAAGCCATCTATTCAAATGCTTAACTGCATCTGCTTTTCTACTACCACCTCATCAGTAGCAATTTGGAAATTGTAACCACAAAACAACTAGCAGGCCAAGTATGTAACCAGCATATCCAAATGATCTCAAACCCCTGGTTTCTGTAGATTCTAATAGCCTAATAAATGGATTTTTGGTAGTGAGCTAAGTACAGTCATATATAATTGCAGTTATTCTCACATTAAGCTGCAGGGAAGTGGCAAACCCAATTAGATTAAATCTTACCATGTGTCCTTGGGATTTGCGGTAGACATTTAAGCAGAGAGACATGTCACTTCCACAGAGCAATTTGCTTGTACCTGTCTGCTTAGATTTATTGTGATTTGTCCTTGTTTTTGTGTATGTTTATTTGCAGAAGCCAGCTCCAGATGCAAAAGACATCAGTGTAGCTTTGGAACATTATTTTTAATTAGCTGGGTTCAGTTTCTAGTAACATGCTTGAATTGCTTCTGGGCTACTAATGGAGTGTGGAAAATAAATATTGTTGCTCTCGGATATTATTTTTTTTTTCTGGTTATAGAAAGCTTCCCATGCTTTGGCATGGAGGCTTTATTTGCCATGAGTCTCACAACACGGGGCAGCCAGTCCGGAGAGAAAGTTGCAACAGAGTTTTCTTCCTAAGCCTGTTTTGTTCTCCTGTCTAAAACCCTCATAGAAATCATAAGTATTCTGGAAAATATACAGTAACTGCAGGGAAAAGATGATTTTATTTTTGCTTCTTTCTGAATTTGAACTGAATTGAACAAAGTTTAACCGAATTGGCACCTGGTAGAAGCGGGGCACGATGCAGAAAGTGAAATGTGGGCCCTAATCCCAAGAAAGAGGATTTGCTTCTCTCTGCCGAGTGTAGTTTATGTATTCTCCTATACATCTGTATGAAGAAAAAGCAAAACCTTTTATTCTCCTTTGTATTCTGTGCTTGTGTAAGAAATTGTACAAGGAGAAACAGCGAAGGGCTGAGGATGGGATATACAGACATTTGCTTATTTACTTTGCACGAAAACATCACTCAAAAAGTATTACCAGGCTACGACATACCATACAGGACACATTTCTTCTTTCAAAGGAAGAGAACAATGCAGATTGACAACAAAGACCGGAGTTCAAAGATTCTACAAGGCAAGGGCTGCCTACTACTGACAAATTATATCGTTAAATTCAAAGTGAGTGAGCCTAAAGCCCTGCAGTACTGGAAGCACTGGGTTTAGGATAATTCTTGTTGTAAATAGCCTTTTCTACAGGGAGTGTAAACTGTCTTCCTCTGCCCACTCTTTCTCCAGCCGAGGAAACACTCATGGCAGTGACTGCATGTCCATCCATCAGGCATTTACGCTCAGGCTTTCGCCATGGGCAAAAAAAAAAAAAAAAAAGAAAAAAAACCACAAAAAACCCACACCACAAAAACCACAAACCACCACCCACCACCTAAACACACAACAACAACCACCAAACCAAAAACCATCACCCACCCACCCAGCACCCCACCACAAACCAGTAATCTCGGGCACTAGAGCATGCCCTGAAGAGCCATGTCTACACGTTTCTTAAATACCTCCAGGGATGGTGACTCCACCACCTCCCTGGGCAGCCCATTCCAATGCTGGATAACCCTTTCAGTAAAGAAATGTTTCCTAATATCACTGGCATTATGCTGGGGAAGAGGGTGAAACGTTCCATTCAGACCACAGCAGACTTCACTGGACAGACTGAGTTTACCTGGCAATTACCTGCGGTGATGGGTAATACCAAAAACCCAGGAAAGGTGGGAAGGAGCAGAATTTGCTCAAGCTGTGGGGCTGAAGGGAGAGCAGGCGGCGGTTGGGAAGGCAGCCCGAGCTCGGCAGAGGAGGGATGGCTGGAGGGCTGCCATCTGCTGCTCGCAGGTTGAATAGCTGGGGATAAGGCTCAAGAAATATTTCCCAGTTTTGTTGCGTTTGCATGGCTTTCATATATGTGTGTGTGCATGTATATACGCGGATGTCACATTGTATATGATGTATTCGGGGCAGCGCATGTCACAAAGGAGTCTGAGGCACAACATGGGTAAAGGCAGAAAGGAATTTGTGGGACAAGAGCGGGTACCTCATGATGAGAGGCAGCCTCCAAGCTGGCACTGTGGCTGAAGGAGCACGGAGTGGGGGATCTACCAGTCCCACTTACATCCATGTGTGCCTTGTTGGTGCCATTAGAGCCCAGGGCTGTGTCACTGCATGTGTAGTTCTGTGGCAGAAGAAACTTATCCCTGAAACTGCGACCTACATCATGTACCATGCAAGGAGATTGTATTTTGGTTCTTGCCAGTACTTATGCTCCAGGCCAGCTGCCAGCTGCTCACGGCCATCTTTGCTATGAGGAGGCCAAAGTAAAGGAGGTATCGTTTGGAGGACTGCCTCTGAGGATGAGTCACAGTTTTGCTCCATGTCATTTGCACATTTCTGGAGGGTTCAAAACTAGTCCATCCACAGGAAGCAGGTTCTGGTTTAGTGGAGTTTAGTGGTAAATGTGAACAGTTTTACCTCAGGGGAGGGATACCCCCACCTAACGTACAGCACAAGCTGGTAAGGGCTTTAAATAAGAATCCACAGGGACACATGCAGTCATAGGGCAGCAGGGACTCCAGCAGCCAGGAGCACTCACAGGCAGTCTCTGGCAGGCTCCCAGCACAAGCTCATGGTTTCAGCATGGCTTGGCTGGGACTTTGGGCTGGTGAGCTGCCCCACGGTGCTTGTTGCAGCATGAGGGGGCTCTCATGAAGCTCATGGGAGCCAGGCATTGCTGAGATATAGACCTCATAAGCTTCTCACACAGCTGTCAAAGATTGTCCCTGCAGGTATGTTAGGAGAAATTGGCTATGGACGATACCTGGCCACAGCAAGAACACAAAATTTTATAAATTTGTTTATTTTTAGTTGCATGAGAACTGGACTTTCCATTGACTTCAGTAGGACTGGAGAAGAGGAATACATTTTTAAGATTAGAAAGGACCATGTGACTATTCCCGCAGGAATCAAACCAAAGCCAGTAATCTGAATCAGATCCAGAAGAGATTTGCAATGCCCTATATATAATACCTGTTTGGATTCCTAACATCTGTCATCTCTAGTACTAATTTGTAAAGACAGATTTTAAGTATTTTCAGTCCTTGGCCCTGGAAGCTGTGGTGAACTTGAAGCAAAAAAGCCATGCTATGAACACAACCTGGCAGTTACAGTCTTTTATAGAGGTTATAGTGACAATTATCTGCAAGATTTGACAAACTACCCTTCTTTCTCTTTTTGTATGGTCATGACAGCGGTTATTTAGATACCAATAAGGGCAAGACTGTGGGAACACAATTGTATTGTTATTTATATCTGTCTTGCAAACTACTGGGACCAACATGATGGTTTGGAAAACAAGTCAGAAGGTATTTATTCAATAGTCTGTTCTATTGATTATAATCAAACAACAACTCATAATTTTGCACAGTGAGAATTTTATGACTGCAGTGATCTGAAGCATGCCTCTGTGCTTAGAAATCAAGCTGCTTATTTAATTAAGTGTTTCTGGCTCTCTAGATTTAATAATTCTAATTAAATTGTTATGATTATGACTTGCATTTGGATTATGCCCACAGTCTCAATTAAGACTATGAGAGGACCTCATAAGCCCATGGAAGGACACATTGCCTTCCTCAAAGTGTTTAGAATGTGGGACTGGGAAGGACCTGTGGGGTCATCAAATCCAGTGTCCTGGATATTTCAGGGATGGTGCTGAATAAAGCAAAAGATGACATTCTCGTTTACCTCAAGAAATGATAGGTAGGAAGGGTGAGTAAACAGTATCACAAAATGTGCTCTGTTCAGACCAGCCACATGCATCCATTGATATTTCCATGTCCTCAGAAATATTTAAAGGAACATCTAAATTACAAGAGCATTCTGATTTGGCCTCAGAAATATTTAAAGGAACATCTAAATTTCTAGAGCATTCTGATTTGTTTTTTTCCCAAACAGTGCTGAGCACAAGCACCTTCTCTTGCCTTATGGCTGCTTAATATCTGTGAGAAGACATGTGGCTGCCTCAGTGAAGAGCTAAGCATTCCGTTTTAGACATCTGCTTTCAAAGTTGCTGTATGATCACATGCATTATCTTTAAATATGTTATGGAAACTTTTGCTAGCTGTGTTTTGAGAATCGACCATGACTGAGAAACTGGTGTCTTTGAGTCACGATTATCAGCTGCTATCCCACTTTGGCCAGGCAGATGTTGGTTTTTAAACCTTTATACATCTGTTCCTCATACTAAAATAATCACTGTTGGTTTTATGTTAATAGGTTTGCCTCCTAGTTGGAGCTAGTTGGGGCAGCTTCTCCAGAGACTGAGAGATGTCACTCTACTGAGTGCAGAGGCAGACTGAACTTGTGGGAGATAGGAACAGAATGTTCGAAAGGGAAAACCAGGTAAGACAAAGGTTATTGTTTGAATTGCTGGAGGAGAGAGGAAAACCTTTTCTGAGGGTGATTGCACAACTAGGAGCTGAAGTTGTAGAAACTTTGGCTGAAAAATAACAATGTTTGGACAATGCAAATTCAAATAGCAATTGGATATCATGGAACACTGAACGTATTTGCTTTTTCATAGCCACCAGTGAGTAAAATGCACTTGACATTTCCAGTCATACCACTTCAGAGTGTCGCAACTAGAAATCCATTATTTTTCTTACTCTGAGAGGGCGACATGCTTTATCTAAGATCCTATTGTCCTTCTTGACTCCACTCAGAAGATGGGAATGTGTGCTAATGGTTAGAAGGAGTGGGATGACTTGTCTATAAGAAAACAGCAGCAGAACCGAACATCATAAACCGTCTCCTGTCATTAGAAGTGTGGGTAGAAATGTGACTGTCAGTCAGGTGTGGAAATCTGACTAGTTCAAAACAGATAACTCATCAAATCTAGTTTCTTTTCACAAACTTGTTCTTTAACGGAATAAAAGAACAATTCTTTTTCTAGGCCCTTGCTTCAGCCAGTCACTTGAAAAATAGCAACATTAGTGCAGTGGAGAGGAGGTCAAGAGCTGTGTTTGATCAATGCACTGTTATGTATTGTTGTGTATCGATCCATCCTCAAACACCTTACCTTGTCAAATGCCTTTTGAAGAGTGAGGAGACAAAAGAGATCCCCATGCCTGGCTCCGTGGGAAGGACCTCAGGTTGTGTGCCATGGCCCAGTGTTGTCCTTGGAGACTTGCACGTTTGCTGGGTCAAGATCCCTCAATGAATCATAGCAGACCTTAAGATTAGTGATGCCAGAGGTTGCTGAACCCCTCAATTCCTTTAGCAGAGGAGTGTTTTTCTGTAGCAATCACTAGGGACATTCTTCAGCCTCCAAAATCAAAAGGATCTCTGTTCCTGGCTAGTTATGTATATTGAGTGGCTGTGGCACAGAAACTCTGCAGCATTGTACAGAATGTCCCATTTTTATATTTTTGATCACCTTTCTTCCTGAAAATGAAGATCGGCGCAGCTATTACTATTACTAAGAATTAGGACTATTACTGATCAAGTCTTCTTTCCAATATGAACAATGTCTGGTTGAAATTACAGCAATTTTGTGAGCCACAAGAAAACTTTATTTATCATTTGGGCAACCTGTTCTAGGTGGCCCTGCTTGAGCAGGAGGATTGGACAAAATTACCTCCAGAGGTGCATTCCAACCTCAATCGCTCCGTGACTCTGTTGCAATCTCCACTGGACTTCAAATGAAGTCCTAGTAGACCAGTCAATAAAGAGTTTATCCTCTGATCCCTCTTTGATTTTCTTGCCTAAAAAGCAGGAGCTATCTTCTGCAAAGCTGCACCAAAAACTGTGTCTTATCATTGTGAAAAATAATTCTCTTATTAAGTCTCAAGCACTAATCACAATTAAGACTACTGTGGTTCCTTTGGGAGTTTGTGGTGATGATGGTGATACTAACACAACAGTGTTCAGAATTTTGTACTTCCAAATGCAAACTCCTTTTCCATTTAGAAGGAAGAGGAGTCTGTGTTTGGGACTCTGGCGGTCACACCTAATGCAGAAACAGGAAGACACATGTGCCCTTACGAAACTTCATTCCTGCATTTCTTAGATGGTGAGTTAATCTTTTTCTTAGTATTTTTTTGTCCTAGGTTATTCTACATCTTTGCCTGTTTGACACTGCTGTCATAAATTACCTCCCAAGTTGTATCTCCACAGGCTTGCTTGGTTTGCAGTTCTGCATTAATTCAGACACGGCAGCTTTCAGTGTTTTGGAATCTTTTTGCACATGTCAAAATATGAAACGAAATACTGGTTTGAGCACTCTGCACTAACCCATTACCCTGTTTGAGGCTGACAGCATGTTCAAAGGAAATAATTTCCGCCACGGTACGAAAGATGGAATCTTTTCAAACTTTATTCTATGTCTGTCATTAAGTTCAGCAATACTTTTTTGATAGGTGTGTGAACTACAAGTGGTAAAGCCGATAAAAGCCATTCCAGCACTAAGAAGAAAAATCAGATGTAGGGGCAGAGATTTGAAGATGCCATCTAGAAATATAGCTAGGCAATGTTTGACCCTTGATTTTTTTGCATATGGAACTTATCTTTTTATGCTCTAACTCTGCAGAGGTATGCTGGAGAGAGAGGGAAGCTGATGGTCATGACAGATGACCCCTAGAGCTCTGACTGATGAGGTTGTTCTTTAAAGGGAGAACAGATTTTTCCAAGTGCTTTCCTGAGATAAGCCTTTAATGACAGTGCTGGGAACTGTCTGGTACGAAGACCACACAAATCTTTCTTACAACCTGCTGTTTGCCAGATTTTTATGGCTGGTTATGTAGTACCTTTGCCAAAGGATTGCTTAAGATCCTGAAGTGTACAAAGCAGATGCCTGGACACACATTGTATAATTTAGGAATTTTATGTTGCCACTTGTGTATTTATTGTTACCACCAAGGAATTTTAACATCTAAAGAGAATGAGTTGATTATTTTACAAAACTTCATTTTATGAACTTATTTCAATCATGGGATTACTATTCAGGATTCCTACACGGTGAAGACAGGAATATTCATTTTATGCTTTTTGTATATATAGGTGAATTCTTGGTTTGAATAAAAACAGCTGCAAAACTGGCATCAACACATACATACCTATGTCACCTACCCACTGTGCCAAATTATTTATATTATTTTTTTGTGAAGGTGCGGGAAACAAGCAGGTCTCACTGCCAGCACACCTGTACCCTGTGCTTGTTTACTCTCCTTGCTATACCATTTTCCCTCTCCCTCTCCTGGTGTGCTTTCAGTAGCTCCTTTAATATGTACTTTGGCAAAGCTTCCTCATCCTCCCCTTGGTTTTCTATGAAAGTTTGTATAAATTGGTTTTTTTCACTTGTTTCCTTCCTCTGCTTCTTCTGTATCTACGATCATACTCTGGAAAGTATCTGATATATCTCAGATACAGCCTTCAGTTTCCATCCACATGTCTAAAACACATTTGTTTCTTAAAATTTCTTATCCCCAGTTCTCCTGCAGTCCTCCCTTTGACCCAAACATGTGGGTTTCTCTCAGTTGATACTAATCCTGTCTCCAAGCCCATCACTTGGATTTCATTTGATTTTACGCTTCCTCTGCAAACTTATTTTCTTGTGTCAAACATAAAGCCCTTGTTTCAAGCACCATCACTCCTCTTTGAATCTTGTTCTTCATTACTGAAAGATTGGCTGCCACTGCAAAGCCCAGTTAAACTCTCAAATACTTCATGCTTTTGTTTCACCGTTACTTATTCCAAAAAGAATTTGTGTATATTCTACTTGTTAGATCAGCATAGTTCATGTGTATATTTATACAGTTATAGTATATGTATATAATATGTGCTTGTTATATCAGCACAATTAATGTGCTGATAAACAATTTGTATTGTGCTAATGTGCACAATAGCATCATATATACACAGATGAGAAATGCTTTCTCCATAAAAGCTGCCTAAGATCTTTTTAACGTTCATGTAATGACTGGCAACATTTGGAGATTTTCTGCAGACTGAGTGTAGAAAAATTCTAGAGACTGCCATAAACATCCATGGGGACAATTTCCTGTGATTATCATTAGCTATGGACTATGATTTGTTTCTTACAATGTCGTGTTTGAGATCATTCACTATCTTCTGTTAATTATTGACTGCTTTTGTTATTATAGCAACCAGAGACCACTAGGGGACTCTGTTTTCCATCATATGAACTAATACTCTGTAATCGGTTTTTGCTGCTCAGTATTTTTTAGGCATATATTTTTACAAAGTATACAAATACACTCATTTACACAAATATACTAATTTACAGAGTAACCAAGTAAGCACTGGCCATTCAGCAATCAGACATGCAGTCTGAATGGTGATGCAGCCTCTATGGAAAATGTGGTCTGAGATCTGCTTTCTTTAAAACAGAAATGATGTATGGGCAAATCTTTCCATCTCTGTGTAGGAACATTTGACAAAATATTACCATCCTGTCTTCAGTTCTGGCCTGCACAGTTACTTGTTTGGTTGTAGGCTTTTAAAATGCTCAACCAATGTAAGCAAGAAGGTTTGAGAAACTTTCCAGGTTTAATGATTTTTAAAACCTTTCCCCCATCTTTTCCCATTGAACTCTTAAAGAAAACTTTCTCATCTGGAAAGTTGCACTAGTTTTGATCCTTTCCACAGAGATCCTAATCACTTTTCAAAATACAGGTATCCTTGCTGTAATTTTGAAGGTAAGGAGCAAAAATAAAGCAGATTAGATCACTGTGTTGCCTTTGGGCAGGCAATGGAAATAATTGCGGTTCAGAGCCATTATTTGCTTTTTTCAGAAATGTTTTTTTACAAGAATAATAGAGATTCTTATGTCAATCACCATTACTGTTTGCCCAGCAGCTGGCTGGCCACTGCCTACCCAGCGATGAAAAATGTCTATCTAATTGCAGTCAAGTGAAAACTGCCAGAGGGCACCTGGCCCTCTGTTGCCTTTGCAGTTGCAACGCAGCCCAACGGAGGCAGCCGAAGCAGCTTAGGCGTTCATGTAGGATTTGCAGTTCATCAGTGCAAAAGAATGAAGATAACTGGATGGAAAACAACCAACGTGCCCCACGGGTTCATGAGTCTAACAGGGAGTGCTTGGAATTTGCTCAAGTGAGCGCAAGAAAAAAGCCCACGGAAAACCTCCTGCTAATGGGTGGTTTTATTTTATAATCAAATGACACATTGGAATGTAGTGCTCTCAGGAACTTATTTTTTTTAAAAAAAGCAGATACTTTGCATTTTAAGAACATTTCAGCATTGTCTGCTTCATGCAAGTAGAGACCGTCTTCAAACAAAAAAAAGGAGAATAGGATGGCAATAACTGCTGCTTGCAGGAGGCACAAATGAAGCATGTAGAGAAACTGTTCTTTTGTGGCTTTGATTATAGGTGATGCACTACTGTTTGCTTGCTTGTTTGTTTGGGGGTTGCTTAGTCTTTTACCTATAGACTACAATTTTGGAAAGCAATTTAAAAATTATTTCAGTAGGAACAATTTTGATAGCTATTGATGCAGTGTTTTGATGTCTTTCAGAAAATCAGTCAGTTCTGAAGTCTGTGAAAAAGGTAAAAATTGTGAACTACTGAAACCTTTTTGTTAGATCTTTATGATTAGTAACTTTTTAGAAACTTTTCCTGAACTTATTGGGATTCTGTGATTAGTTGTGTTTTTGTACAGAAGAATGTCATAAGGGGAAAAAAACAAAGCAAACCCACCCACATCCCCCAAGATTAGATTTTGAGTATTGAAAGCACTGAATTTGATGCTTTCTTTGGTTTTAGAGACAGAGTACAGGTATTATAGCCCATGCGACATCATTTTCTATTGCGATTTCTTGATAATAACTGGTGCTTACCCAATTGCTTCCACTTGAGAATCTTTTTTCATATTTTTCTGGACACATTACATCTACTGCCTTTGAAGTCTGTAATGAAATAGAAAATGTTCTTTTCTTCTCTTACATTTCCGATCCCTGCTCTATTTAACACAATAATAAAGAATGCATAAAGGAGACCAGCAAAAGTATTTATATACAGCTTGCACAGATGTGCCAGTTAAGAATCAAAGCTCCAGGGAAGTGCTTGAAAAGCCCCTCAGTTGGCTGGGGCTGTGTGACCATAAGCAGTGATCGATTTATGCACCACCTGCTATTAGAAAGATGTCTGGGGAAGAGTTGAAATAAAGAATGTGATTGTGGCTAAAATCTGATACCACAAGTGGCTTCACTTGGTATGGTGCAGAGCACAGGCAAAGACTGTGCCTCACTGGTGAATTTGGACTTTGAAAAATGGATTCTGGATAACGTATTTTGCTTATGTGAAATAAAAGGCACAATGGGGGTTAAAAAGATCATATTCACTGTGTAGTTATCAGGCTTCTCCACTAAAGTCAGGTTCGTTTGTGACTGCTGTGAATACATAGTGAGAGATTAATATAGGATAAAACATATACAGCCATGTAAAATGTTATGTATGGAGAAGTTTAGTTAATTAAAGCAATGGCCCAGTGAGGAGTTCTTCTTGCCAGTTGTAGAGTATCTGAAGATCTCTAATAGAGGCCAGAGGCTGCTGTAGGAAAGCAGCTTTTCATCTCCAAGTATCTGTCCCTGTACAAAATCCACCTTAGCAATAGCATGTTTTGGAAGTTCTTTTCTTGTTGCAAAAAAAAAAAAAAGAAAAAGGCTTGTTTCGTATTGGGAATGTATTAAAAAGTTTAAACATGATTTTGCTGCAAGTAGGCCTAACCACAGAGAATTACTCAAGCAGATTCATGCGGTGTGAATTATCCATCAAAACTGTCATTGTTTCTAACACAAGTTTATGGTAAAAGTTTTAGCTGCTGATGATGGTGAGCAGCAAACCTCACCATTTCCTCAGTGCATAACGTATCTCCAGATATCTATATCTACATTTTTATGTCTTTATAGCATGGTGCTATTTCATGCTATTCTGCTGGTGTGGTAACCCTTTCATAGGGATTCAGAGGGTGGAACTTCTTTCAAGAAAGAAATTACAGCGTTATTACAGTTACCAGAAACGTCTAAGGAAAAAAA